GTGCCACCGCCGCCGCCCGCGCCGCCCGCGCCCCCAGCGCGCCGCTGAGCCCGCGCCGGGCCGCTCCGGCCCCATTCCCATGCGGGCGGCGCGGGCCCTGGGAGGGGCGCCCGCAGCCAGCCGCGCAGCATGCACTGGGGGGTTGGCTTTGCCTCGTCCAGGCCGTGCGTGGTGGATCTGAGCTGGAACCAGAGCGTCTCCTTCTTCGGCTGGTGGGCCGGGTCCGAGGAGCCCTTCTCCTTTTATGGGGACATCATCGCTTTCCCTTTGCAGGATTACGGTGGGATCATGGCAGGGCTGGGCTCCGATCCCTGGTGGAAGAAAACACTTTACTTGACCGGGGGAGCTTTGCTGGCCGCAGCTGCGTATCTGCTCCACGAACTCCTGGTCATTAGGTGAGCCGGAGAGAGGGCCCCGCGCAGGGGCGCCGAGAGGGGCACCTGGCCAGGGCAGGGCTGGCGCGAGGGGGGACCGTGCCAGCCTCTCGGTCACGCCGTGCAAATGCCCAAGAATCCTGCCCTTACCTTTCCCTAGAGGCAGTCCGTGGTCACCTGGCCTGAGGGGTAGTTTCGAGTTGACAGGAGAATTAAACTGGTAGTGGGAGGGGAAAACATTTGTGTCCCAGTCCTTTGGTGCTAAAAAGCAAAAATTCTCCGGGTTGTTGTGGAGCAGGAGTCTATTAGGAAATGCCCTTAGTAAGATCCTAAGTGCAATGTTTGCAACAATAGAATGAGGCCTGAAAAAAAAAAAATAGAATGAGGCCTGGTAGAGATACTAAGTTACACTTTCATGAAATGCCTTGTTTGTAGGTAATAATGCCGGAATATTAACCACTAACCTTATCTTTTACTTAAAGGTTAGTTCTTCACTATCCCTCCCCAAATTTCAATATCATCAAAAAGCTGAGATTGCAAAAGCTCCAGAGACCTCTGGGTCCCTGTTAAAGAGCTATGGTCAAGTAGAGTGCTGTGCAGTTTTGATGCAGCCTTAACCTGGTTATCGGCTGCTCAGGTATTTCAAGCTAAGCACCATCGTGGGGTTTCAGTGCCATTGTTGTGCGAGCAGTGGGAGATCTGAGGACAGAACGAGCACACGGGCGTGTTTGACAAGAACACGGGAGTCACCCAGTGCCGTAAACAGTTGCATAGGCTGCCTGCCGCAGAATGTTTACAGACCTGACTTGGAAATGCCAGAAAATGGAGGCCCCTACTGTTGGTACATCCAGGAAGACATGAGATCTTTGTTTGAGTAGGGTAATACCATAGGCTTCTGGGATGGGCCTTTGGCTCACTGATAACATCAATTTATGGTTAAAATTTTCATGCGTTGGAGCCATATGTCCCTGGGAGATGACCAGAAGTGGGCAGTTCTCAATAGCTCAATATATCCCTGTTGGCCAGTATTTTTTAAGTAGTGACAAATGTGTTCCACACTGCCTTTTTCCAGGAGGGGATCCTACACAATAGCTTATAAACAAAGACAGTGATCGGTGACCTTTAACAAGCTTGCAGGGATTCCAGGACATTGTGACAGGCTAACGTAGGTATTTTGAATATTTCTAGTCTCCGAGAGGGTGGGAAATCATTTAGGTCTGAGGAAATGTATTGGCTTTCACTATTATTTAGCCATAATTGAGAAGTTTTATTTTAAGCTTATTATGTACCCTGAATTCTCTCACTTAGCAGGTGGCTTGAATCATCTAGTCGAACCACATAAAGATTTTTAAAGTGAATTTAAAGTGAATTTCTCTAGATTATTTCCTATTTTTGCTAGTTTTAGAACTTGATTTCAAGTTAGATTTCAAGCTGTATGAAAAAACCAAAACATTTGTACAGTACTTTAAATGGTAACCCAGTTGTTTCTCAATTATATTCCAGTCCAGAACCTTTTCAGGATCCAGGACCATGTGGCTTCTTGCCAGTTTAACACTTTGTGGAGGGAGTGAAGGCACCATAGGACCAAGTCTAAACCTTGCTTAAATGACCTTGCAGAAATAGCAAGGAGCCCAGAGCTCATCCAGGGAACAGGCCACGCCCTGGCAGGTGTGGTCTCTGGACACAGAAGAGCCCTCTGCCCACAGATGTGTCCTTCCCCACTTAGCACACTACTTGGATACTTCTTTAGATTGGGACGTTTTTAATCCTTGGTTTATTCACTTTTGTTTCTTGACGGATGTCTAAAGCCTGGGTAGGAAATATGTTATAATGGAGTAGAAAACCCTGTTATAAGGCAAATAATAAAAATGACTGCCCACTTTTGATCTCTTAGTAGGGACTCTGTATAGAAGTGCTTTACTTGCATTTATCCCTCTCAACTGTGGCTGGATGCTTGATTTCCATTTCATACAGAAGGCATTTACAACTGAGGGAGGGAGGTTAAACCACTTGCCCAAGATCACACAGCAAGAGTAGTAGGATCCAGACCTGGGAATGTGTGTGTGCGGAGTCTGCATTTTTTTTCCGCTGCCTCCTAGAAAGTACCAATGACAACATAAGCCTGGCTGGAGAGAGACGAAGAGAAACGTAAAGAATTGGGACATGGCCCAGGGAAGACAGGCCTGTGGCAGGGACCTGAGTTTTTGACAGCCTCTAGGGACACAGAAAGACAGGGGGAGAAAGACTGAGCAATTTCTGGGACTGTAAGTCAGAGGTGACATGACAGAGACTTCCATTTAGGGCGAAATCTCAGTGTCAGGTGTCTCTGTAGTTTAGGCAAAACAAAACAATCCAGAATCTGCAGGTTGGAAAACACACCTTGAAATGATCACAGTGTCTGAGGTCACGGACAATGGTAAAGTCTTTACCACTCGACTTGGATTTTCTGCGGGAGAGACTTAACCTGAGTGTGTGGCCATGTGTCTAGCGTGTAAAGGAAAGTTGACTGGTGGGAATTACTTAGGAAGTTTCATTGAGGAGTATAACCAAAGGAGGTATTTTGAATTTTATGACTGCTTTTCTCATGGCAGTATTTTTAACCAAATATTGTCTCAACCCTCTACTTTACTTCCCCTGAGTGGTGACAGCCTAGCAGCTGTCTTAAATGCAATCCATTTGAGAATGTGTTGTTTGTAAATTGAATGACTAAATAATGATTGTGTTGTTGGTAGCTCTTTTGCACTTTGGGCCCTTTGGCTCAGCCTGTCCTAGAGAATTTAGGGACTCAGAGCAGCCCCCAGGTCAACCAACATCTGACTTCCATAAACCAATGGCTGCTCAGCCGCACACAGAGGCATAGTCATCCATGATATCCGTCATGATGGGAGTAGGGGCTAGTCTTGCTGTTGTGTACGTGTTCTCTTATATAACCCTCATTATAAAGTCACTTTGGAAAGTACAGCTGGCCGGGTATTTTAAAAAATACCTGCTCCTCTGATTCTTCTACGTTAGAGAGTAGCTTCTGATGTGTGGAAGGAGGGCTCTGAAGCCAGAGTGGGTCCACACTCATTTTGCTTATTTTAACCATGTAACCTTGGAGATAAGAAGCTTCTTGGCTACTTGGTTTTCTCATCTGTAAAATGGGGGTAATCATAGTAGCCTGCCTTACGGAGTTGATTGAGTTAGCACGTGTGAATTGCTTAGAACAATTTTACAGGGAAGTGAGCATTCGATAAAAGTTGGCCATCATTGGCTATCAAAACTTCCTTTGGAAAGTTCCAGGCTTGAGTGGCCTGAGTCAAACTGGCTGTTTTGACAGAATTAAATGAGAAATTGCCCATTTCAGTGGTGTTGAAGGGGCTTAAGGGCTTGGGATCTGGCGCTAATAGTGACCTGATCTTAACAGTGATACTCCTTGGACAAGTTATTTAACCTCTCTGAGCTTCAGTTTCCATATCTACTGTATAGTATAATACACTGAATTCAAACTATAACAATATCCACGCTATGGTGTTACTTCAGAATGAAATAAATTAATATGCATCATGTATACGAAGTCATTGGCATATGCTTGTCACATCCATTCTTAATATGATATGGCCCAAGTTAACCATTAGAATTAGATATTTCTGGCCAGTAGAGCAGAAGATTTTACATTTATCTCCTCTCTTTCCAGTTCTTAAATTTTTGCTTGGCTACTTTACATGAAAATACCACTCTGTGACTTGAATTATTGGACTGGACAAAATCAGTTAATTGTCAAATCTAGTTTGTGCTCTCTGGGCACAGTCTAAGACGCTTCTTAATTTTAATATCTGACCTCCCCAACATTTCATCTAAATGAAAGTCTTTGTTTTATATAGCAAATATTGCCAGAAAACAGCAAATATTTTTGTTCTTTTGACTTGAGTGGTGTTTTCCAAGTGACTCATTCTGAACTCTTTAAGTGGAATGGGCACTCTGGTGATAAACTTCTCCAAAAGAGTTGGTTTTACAAAATGCAGATGCCGCAGGAGGTGAGCTCCATGGGCTGGTGATACAAAGAGCTTGCCCTTGCTTGGGTGGAAGTAGGTTAAACTGGGAGTAATGTGAGGGAACCAGAGGCTCAGGGAAGGCCCAGGGGAAGAGTGAGGTCTATCTGACTGGGAAGTGGTTGGGCCGAGCGAAAGACGGGGAATTGCAAATGGTTCCTGAGGGTGGTGTAGTAGGAGTGACGCTGTGGGGGATGATGAGATAGTGTAGTTTAAGGGGATAAGACCGTATCTCTGTGAATGAGAATAGATTTCTACCATTCTTACACGCTGCTTGATAGCTCCACAAATATTTACCGATTTTTAAAATTTAATCCTCATGCTAATTGATGCAGAATTGGTACTGCCCTCACTTTCTGTGGGTGGGAGGAAGAGAGGCCTAGGGTAACGTGGCCGGTAGGAAGCAGGGCTTGGATGTGACCCCAGGTGTCCACACTTGGAATCTAGCATTTTCTCTATTATACGGTGACCATTGAAAAGCTGTATCAGGGAAATCCTCCCACCCAAAAAAGTAGCCAAGGGAAAGCTAGACGTGTGGCTGAGACAGAAGAAAGAGAAGAAGCAGGGGTATTAAGTTATATGCTGTGTGTCTAGAGCGGGGACCATGGGAAGCTAGAGAAGATGAAAGAGAGCCCAGAAACCAGCTTCCTTGGCATCACATGGATGAAAGGCCAGGTGAGGGCACACATAGTTTGGAAGGGTCTCAGATTCCCTGCAGACTTGGTTCCTAGCAGAGTAAACCTGCGCTGTTATTCCTGGGTTCTAGGGACAGTTTCATGTTACAGTCCAGGTGTCAAGAACGTAGACTCGCTTGCCTGGTTCGGTCCAGGGTATGCCATTTATTAGCAAGGTGACCTTGGGCAAGGCAATCCTCTCTGTCTCAGTTTCCTCATCTATCACCCATGGATAAGAGTAGTAGCTCCCTCATAAAGTTATTGTGAAGATTAAATGAAATAATACCTGTGATGCCCTTAGAACAATGCCCAACACCCAGGAAGCACACACTGTCATTTTTAGCCCTTCAGCTTGTGCCTGGCCACTAAGCATTGCCCGCTGGAGAAGGGGTGCGCCTGTATTACAAAGTATTCTTCCTGCCCCCATGGGCTATAGTTAGCCGACATAGCTACTCTCTAAGCCCTTGGGGTCACCGTGATCATTTGTAAGGTTCTCTCATGTTTGGGCTAAGCCTCCACTCTGCTCCTGGGTGAGGTGAGCCTCCGTGACAAACAGATCTGCTTGTTCATGGAGGAGCTGCAACCCACCAGGGACCTCCGGGGAACTCAGGGAATTGAATGTGTAACACGTGGATTGTTCTTTATTTCTGTTTTGGTTTTGGCAGGAAACAGCAAGAGATTGACTCCAAAGATGCTATTATTTTGCATCAGTTTGCAAGACCTAACAATGGTGTCCCCAGTTTGTCTCCTTTCTGTTTGAAAATGGAAACTTACTTAAGGATGGCTGACTTACCCTACCAGGTACTTGTGTACAAACATGTCTTATTCTCACGACAGTAACATCAGAGGGGGAGTTCCTCATCTCACACGGTGGGAAGGGCTTGCTCTTTGTGGCCGAGGGGTGGATATGAAATTAGTAGCGCCTGGTCCTTAGCACATACTTAGGAGAGCCTGGATTCTAGGGTCTGTTGGTTTTTACATCCAGTTTAATGGGGGATCCAAAGGGTATGGACTTTTGTAAGTTTCAGGGTCATGGTATTTTTTTTTTCCTGACATAGATTAGGCCTTGGTTAAGCTTGGATAGATCTCCTGGGCAGCTATTAATAAAGGTGGGGTACCATTGCTCCGTGTGGTTTTTTCCTTGAGATTTCTGTTTGATAGCATTATCTTTTGTCTCTCATGAATCCTAGGGGGCAGAGCACCTGGCAGGCCACCAGGGAGCTAGTTGTAGATTTTGTGAGAGCTTTTCCACAGTGCTCCATGTTCTGCTTGGGTGGCTTTCAGGGAAACATTCGTTCATTTCCGCATTCAAGAATGAACAGAGGAATGTATTTAACAGTATCCATTCTTCTGTGAGCTGTGTCACAAATTTGGCAGGTTGTGTTTTCATTGTTATTCAGTTCTATGTATTTTTAAAAAAATTTTTCCCTTCTCTTTCTTTTTCACCTGATATCTAGCTATATATACAAGTTTGTAAAACTTTGATTTTTGTTAATTGTTTTTTAATTTGGTGATCAGAGCAGACAGTCTCTGTGATACTGAGTCCTTGAAATTTACTGAGGCTTTAGCCTAGAGTGTGGCTAGTTTTTATGAATGTTGAAAATCATTCCATATTCTCCGTTTGGGTGAAGAGCTCTCTAGATTTACTTGCTTGAACATTTGTTTAGTGGATTATTTAGCTCTTGTATATTTCTGCTTATTTTTTGTTTGCCTGTTCTAGCAGTTTCTGAAAGGAGTAGATTTAAATATCCACGGGTATTTGTTGATTTATCTTTTCTTCCTGCCATCCTCTCAGTTCTTGCTTTATGTTTTTTTTTTTTTTTTAAAGATTTTATTTATTGGACAGAGAGAGACACAGCGAGAGAGGGAACACAAGCAGGGGGAGTGGGAGAGGGAGAAGCAGGCTTCCCGCGGAGCAGGGAGCCCGACGCGGGGCTCGATCCCAGGAGCCTGGGACCATGACCTGAGCCGAAGGCAGACGCTTAACGACTGAGCCACCCAGGCGCCCTCAGTTCTTGATTTATGTAAGAGATCATAGGGTTAGGTAGATATAATGTGAAAGGTCACATTTGTACTCTTTTGTTTCTTCTCCCAGTATATATAGCACATGGCTGTGTCCCCTGCTTTTTTTTATTTCTTGAATTTTATATTGTCAGATATTGAGATTGATTCTCCAGCTCTCTTTTGGTTCATATTTGCTTGGGATACCTTTCTCCCTCCTCTTTGTCTTTCCTTTATGTGTACCTGTCTCTCACAGGCGATGTATTACTTGTAGCCAATCTAAGAGTCCTTAATTGGACTGCGTTTTTTTCATTCACGCTTGTGATTATTGTTTAACTATGAGTTATCTCTAACATCTTTGTTTATTTATTTTTTCTAACATCTTATTTAATATTTTTTTCTCCTTATTATATTGGTTTTTAAATTTTTTTTCTCGTTTCCTGCTTTGTAATGGATAGATAAAAAGAAACTTTCTTATCATTTAAAACAAATTCTGTTTTTGATGTTATGGCGGTTGCTCTTAAGATCCAAATTGGAGTTTATTTATCCCTATTATCATTTCTCAAATGCCGTCTTGGTCCTCTGATAATACAAGGATCTTACAGGTTCATGTGAACCTTGGGTCTCTTTTTTCCCAGCCCTGATCCCAAGTGTGTTGTTGTTGTCTAATGTTTTTAATTCTGGAATTTTGGAAATCCTTTCCTTTTTTTTCCTGGTTCTTTTTTAGGCAACAAAGCTTACTAAGTTTTTGGCCAGCCCTATTTCCCATGTATCTTCTCCTCCGGGATTATTTATCCTTGTATTTGAGCACTTTCTTGATGCATACTTTCAGATTGAGCCTTTATGCAGCAAACCTCCAGTGGCTTTGCACGCCTGATGACGTCTTTATTTTGCCCTCACGTTTGAAATGTCTGCGTTCAAAGTTCTTTTCCTTCAGTGCCTTTTTTTTTTTTTTTCAAAGATTTTATTTGCTTATCTGACAGAGAGACACAGCGAGAGCAGGAACACAAGCAGGGGGAGTGGGAGAGGGAGAAGCAGGCCTCCCGCGCAGCGGGGAGCCCGATGCGGGGCTCGATCCCAGGACCCTGGGACCATGACCTGAGCCGAAGGCAGACACTTAACAACTGAGCCACCCAGGCGCCCCCCTTCAGGGCCTTAAGAATATCACTGCCTTGCCTTTCTGCATCGTTATTGCAGATGCAGAAAAATCTGTTAGCCAGATCTTTTGCTCTCTCTTTCTTTCTGGAAGCTTTTAGAATTTGCATTTAATCTCAGTATACTTAAATTTCACTATGATGTGCCTTGGTGTGGGTCTTTATGTATGTTGTTTGGTGCTTTCTAAACTCTTGTGGTATGAAGTCTTGAATCTTTTTTTTTAATTCTGGGGAATTATTAATTTTCTCCAAATACTTCCTTTTCTTTTTTATTTGTTTTAGCCTTCTTCCTTTTTGTCCGCTATTATCTGGACGCTGAAATCTCTGCTTTTATTTTCTCTCTCTCTGAATGTGTTCCTTCTAGGTGGATTCATCTTCCTGACATTCCATCCCGTCTCTCTGTTCTCTTCTTGTGTCCATTGTGCTGCTTATCTATTGTGTTCAACTTCTGTATTTTTCTTCGTAATATTTCTCCATGATTTGTATTACAATTTCTTCTTTTACACCTTAGAGGATCTCTATTATGCTAATTAAAATTGGTCTGTCCCCATAATCCTGCTTCATGGTGTAGACATTCCGTCTGATGCGGTCATACACGTCCCGTGTCGACTTTGGTTTGAGATTTCCTTTTCCCAGAGATGTTCACTTCCCTGCCCGGAGGTTTGTACGGGGCAAGGGCCAGAGCTTACGCTACAGGTTGGTGCCTCTGAGGGGATGTAAGAAAAGTAAGAGGTGAGCCCAGGCACCCCCAAACCACTATGGTCCCTCTGGTTTGCTGCCCCGCCTCCAAGTGGCTCTGACTGGTCAGGGCTTCACCTGTAAGCTCTGACAAAGTGGCAGCACCGGGAGGAGGGGTCTCCCTTGCTTGTAACAGAGCAGCCGGGCCAAGCTCTTGGCTGCCCGGATAATGTTAACCCTGCAGCTCCCGGTGCCCCATGGCGTGTGGTTTCTGAGCCAGTTTCTCTGCAGAAGAGGGGATGGGGCAGCAGTGACCCTCCTAAGGCAGTGCTGGGATGAGATGAGTGACAGCCTCTTGGCTCGGTGAGTGCTATTATGGAGGCGCCACTGGGGAAACGATGGAGTGGCACCTAACGGGACAGCGGGTGCAGGGCTCTGGGAGGGCATGGCGTGTTTGGGGACCAGAACTGGGACTGGGAACTGGAGTTCAAGGGCTGGGACTGGAGAGAGGAACACAGCAATTATTTAGGACTTTCTAAGCCAGGAATAGAGGAGAAAACAGCACTGAAGACAGACAAAGCTTGAAGCTTCTAGATGCAGTGGGTCAGATCGGAAGGATCATTGTTGCGCTTGGTGTTGGCAGCCAGCGCTGGAAGATACGTGTCACCGAGGGGCTCCAGCAGCTGTCTCTTAGTCACCATCACTCTTGACCCAGTCCTATCAGTTAGCTTGACAGCTTTGGGGCAGTTAGGGCGCCGGGATTGAATTCTGTGCTCTGTAGTCTCTGAGGGCTTTCTAGATCTCTTGCGCCCCCTCCCCTTGATGAAGCGATTGCGCTGGTTGCAGGGGCCGGCCCAGCTGCCATGCTGTGCTGCCCTGTCCCCTCTTGCCTGTAAGCCTGCCAGTCCTGCCAGTCCTGCCTTTACCAGCAGCCCAGCTACCTCTGCTCATGTCGCAGAGCAGCTGATTTTAGTGCGTGTGACTGGAGCTGCGGGACACACGTCTCACCAGGAGCCTGAAGCTGGTGCAGAGGCCTTGGGGGAGGTGACCACTTACCCCCTTGCAGAATTATTATTTCTTGTTTAGTACATATAATATTTTTCTCTATAATGTATGTATTTTAAAAGAAAGGTGTAGGCGTGATTTTTCTTCTGTGAGGTCTCTGTGGAAAATAAATGGAGGGGGTGTTCAGCTCAGGGCAGAGATTTGTAAGAGAAAAATGGTTCTGTAGTTTAGAAGGCTGCTCTGTGCCTGCCACGGGTGCCTTGGGACCCGTGTGCCCTCAGTGAGGGTTTGGGTTGATGCAGGTGGCGCCTGGGAGGTGCTGGGTGGGGGTGGGGGGCGCATCCCCTGTGCTCAGTGGTACTGAGGCATTTTGTCGGAAATCCAGAGAGCTCTACTCTCTGCCCCTTCTTTGCCCTGTGCCTTGAAGAAGAAAAGATTAAAATGCCATATTCCTAAGAGCACGACTTTATATTTGAAGTTTTTTTTTTTTTTTTTTTTTACGTTTTAACCAAAGAGAGACTGGAATAAATATTTGATGACCATTAGTAGAAACTAAAGGCTTTTTTTTTTTTAAACCCTGATCTACGGGTCCAGTTACTATCTTTCCATCTTTTTAAAATCAGAATACATAGTAGGTCAATTTTGAAAACTTTTCATTTTGTACTAATTATAGATTCATAGGAAGTTGCAGAAAAGGTACAAGGAGGTCCTGCAGATATGGTTAATTTTTTTTTTCAAAATGAAAATATCTTTACCTTTTTTTTCTGATTACATATAGATGATGTATGGTCCTTATAAGAATTTCAAACAATACCCAGAGTGTAAGTGGGAAGTGAAAATCACCTGGCATCTTATTAGCTAGAGATTGCCATCACTAATACTTTGGGCCACCCTTCCATACATTTCTCCAGACACACACGAACATGCCTACATCGTTTGCCGTAACTGGTTGTATTAAGAAGC